TCTTCTCCAGAGAAATCCCCCCCCCCCCCCCCCTTCTTCCTTCTCTATCCCTTTAAAATAATAAATATCCCCTGATATTTACAGCCCAGTCACGTGAGCTATCCAGCCAGGTTTCTGATATTCCCACAAAATCATACTTCTTCTTGAGTAGTAAAAGTTCCAATTCCTCTATTTTGTTTGCCAGACTTCTAGACTTTGTGAGCATGCATTTCAAGTTTTTAGTAGTAGTTAGAATTTAGCTCACAATCTGGCTGCTATTAGTTACATCAAAACTTCCAGCATTAGATTCTGACATCATAGCTTTCCTGTTATTTGTTGGATCTCCACATTTACCCCTATTTCCCCCTCAACTATACCATGTTATTTTTTTGATACCTGCTCATATCCTGGCATAATCCTATTTGATCCAACCTCCCCCCCAGATCCTAATTTAAAAGGTCCTCTAACTGTAATGCCTTCTAGGATTGTTTTTAGCAGGATCTCAACTGCGGATCAGGGGTACTATTTGGATATATGTATAATCCTCTATGTCCACCCCCTCAGGGTAGGGACCGCTATTCAGTTTTGAATTCCAGCCGTCACTCTCAATCTTTGAAAGGAGAGTTTGAACACATGCTGGAGAGACGTTAGGGGTAGGAACCTGTTGACTGAGCCTCCCCAGAGTAGTTTGAGAAGTAGGAACATGCCTCCCCAACCCGGGTTAACGTAATGGTTACCTCAGGGGGTCTGATGGGAATAGTAGCGACCAACCAGGGAGTCTCTAGTAGGGGTGGAATTTATGTGTACTCTCCAGGAGCGGTCTGGTACATATGCTGGTACGAAGTGCCAGATCTGATAGGGGATGTAGGTCAAGTTCACAGCAATAATGGCAACAGCACAGTCTATGGATGCGACAGCTACAGCACAGTCTATGGATGTCACAGATTCAGCACAATCTATGGATGTCACAGATTCAGCATAGGCTACGGATGTGACAGCTACAGCACAGTCTATGGATGTCACAGTTACTTGCGGTTACGAAGGCTTGAGGTGACGGGGACTCTCCTGGCTACAGATAGCAGAACTTCTAGAACAGTGGTTCTCAACCTGTGTAACCTCAGGACCCACATTTGTCCTTGGTCATTAAGTCGCGACCCAAAAATAGGGGGGATGGTGGTGGTGATGGTACGCCACACAAGTAGGCTGCTACAAGTGATCTGGGCGGCTATACTTATAGAAAATGAGCAGCAGAGCCCCTGCTAATGGCCCCCCCCCCCTTTCCCAGCTTCTGCACTGACAGGGGAAGAGCTAGCAGCATGGACATTATGATCTGTTTTTATCTGTTCACCACACATTATTAACAAAACTGCAAACCTCTCCCTGCCAGCCTGCCTACTTCTCTCAGCTTCCATGGTCTCTGGGAAGGCAACACTAACTATTAACACTGGTGTATCCCTACTAAAAAATATAATGCATTGCTGGGACTTGTAGTCCTACATAGATGGAGCTATTCTGCATTGCTACATAATCTTCATACAGCAATGCACAATACCACCAGCTATGCGGGACTACAAGTCCCAGCAATACATTATAATAAAAGTAAGGTATGCAGAATACCACCAGCATCCAAACCCCACCCTATAATGCATTGCTGGGACTTGTAGTCCTACATAGATGGTGCTATTCTGCATTGCTGTATAATAATCATATAGCAATGCAGATTACCACCAGCTATGCAGGACTACAAGTCCCAGCAAAACACACACACACTCTCTCTCTCTTCCCAGCGCCCCCTCCCACTCCAAACTTACCTTCCCTCTCCTTCAGGCCCATGGCCCTCTTCCTCGTCTTGGCGACCAGGGGCGGAGCTAAGAGACGTCCCTCTTAGCTCCGCCCCTAAGAGGCGGGACCAGCTCATTCTCCTCTCGATATTATTCCGCCTCTCCATATTATTCCGCCGCCCGAAAGTGAGGAAATAGTCCCCGATTTCCCCGGGTCAGTTCACGCGCAGGGGGGTGTATGAGAGGGAACAGTTTTCAATATATAGTTCCCACAGGCTGGCTCGCACAAATCACCCCTCTATGTCTCCCTCCTGAACATGGGCCGCTCTTTGCAGGAAGGACGCCGCGACCCACTGCAGAAGGTGTCGCGACCCACTTTTGGGTCACGACCCATGAGTTGAGAACCACTGTTCTAGAACAAGCAGGAGGAGGCACTCAGCCTTATTCGGCTGGTTGAAGACCCACGAGCAGCGGTAGTGGCTGGCGGAGAGGTTTGGGAGGTTGCAGGGCGCTCACTCCATTGGTGGAACGCCGTACTGAACTCTCCCTTCCGTCTTATCGTGACGGCGGTCGTGCGGGGGGGGGGAGCCACGCGACGCGCGGCCGCTGCTTCCCACGCTGGAACGCACACAGGTGAGTTCCTTACAGTACCCACAGACAAGGACCTCTTGGGAGAAACAGAGCTGAATCCCTGTGCCTGTGAGCGGATACTTATGGGAAGGATAACAGCACCTAAGTTTCTTAAGTCTACATTTCAATAAATGTCCAGAAAAAACTCTCCTCACCTGATTATTGCAGTTGCCAATAATAAGGGCATCAGCCAGCATCAACTGTCCCACCACCATACCCTGCTCCAGCACGGGTCCTGTACCATCCACCAACCGATTGGAAATGATCACAATTGTGTTGTCGTCATTTAAAATCATCACAGGGTCTGCCTGCCAGGGGAAAAAAAGTTATACATTTGAGGATCAATCTTCAGCAAACAGAAATTTACATATTTGAGGATCGCTATTCAGCATAATGATAAAGAAAATATCACTAGGAGCAAGACGGTTGAACCAAAGTGCACAAATGTTTGAAATAATTTGTTTTAACTCCCTTATAAAAACCTTTCCTCCAGTAGTTCATGGTGGGGGAGGGGGGGCAGGATACAATTTTCTAAGTATAGGGTAGGATATACCTGCCTTTTTCTGATCACTAGGCATAGCAAAGAGCACAGCCCCATCTAGTGGATGTACCAGGGGCGGACTGGGCCAGGGGGCAGGGTGGCAATTGCCCCCCCAGGCCTCTCTGCTGCCTTTAAAAAGGCCCCTGCTAAATTAAGTCT